GATGGCAGAAGATTTTCTTCAATGCCCTCAACAGAGTAAGAGTATAGAAGAAGTTGGCGCACAGTACTTCGATGATTTGCTATCAAGGTCTTTTTTTCAACCATCAAGACACAAAATGCGTTATGTCATGCAGGACCTTCTCAATGATCTGGCAAAATATGTTTGCAGGGATTTTTGTTTTAGGTTGGATGTTGCAAAAGCACCAAGTAAATTTGAAAAGACCCGTCACTTTTCATTCGATACGAATATCATTCCGTATTTTGAAGGGTATCATGGTTTATACGAAGCAAGTAGATTATGTACATTTCTACCATTAAGTAGGAGTCCACATTTGACTTCATGGGAGTGTAGGACCTCCATAGATGATTTGTTCTCAAAGTTTCGCTTCTTACGTGTATTATCTTTTTCGAAAGAATGGAGGCTCACTGAGGTGCCTGATTCTGTATACAATCTTAAACATCTCCGCTCTCTAGACCTTTCTGGTACCAAAATAACAAAGCTTCCTGATTCAACATGTTCACTCTGTAACTTACAAATACTGAAGCTGCGGTCTTGTCACTCATTGAAAAAGCTGCCCTTGAATTTGCATAAACTCACAAAATTGCGTCACCTTGATTTAAGAGAAACTGAGTTGAGAAAGAAGCCAATGCTTTTAGGAGAACTAAAGACTCTTCAAGTGTTGATGAGTTTGTTTCGTGTGTACAAAAGCAGAGATTTCAATATCCAGGATTTAGGAGAACTCAATCTTCGTGGGGACTGGATCATTTCAGGGATGCAGAACATTGTGAGTCCCTCGGATGCAAAAGCAGCAAATTTTAAAAATAAGATTCACCTGTGAAGCTGAAGTTAGAATGGAAACTGAGTGAGAATGATGATGTTTCAGAGAAAAGAAACTGATGTACTTGAGGAGCTACAGCCTTCCAAATACTTGAAAGAGCTATCAATCACGAAGTATGGCGGAACAAAATTCCCAAGCTGGTTTGAAGATAACTCATTGTGGAATATGGTGTCATTAAAGTTGAGCAACTTTAAAAACTGTGCTTTGTTGCCTTCCCTTGGACTGTTGCCTTTCTTGGAAACTAGTCCTTGAAGATATGAGGAAACTGGAGAAATGGGAATGTAAAACTGTGACGGGTGCTTTTCCACGTCTTCGAGAGCTTTCCATAGAGAGATGTCCTAAGCTGAAGGAGCAGTTGCCAGAGCAACTTCCTTGTTTGATGAAACTAAATATTAGATTCTGCCAACAGCTTGTGGCTACTCTTCCATGGGCTCCAGTCATTCAAGAATTAAGGCTGTTAAGATGTGGAAAGATGCAAATGGATTATAACCCATCTACTTTGAAAACTCTCACCATCGATGGAAGCTTCATGCAAGGATCGCTGCTTGAAAGGATTGGGCCCACCATATCTGATGCCTCTCTTGAATCTTTGACCCTAAGTCATTGTTGTCGTTATCTGAGTTGTCCGTTAAGTCCAATTCTGTTGTCCGTTAAGTCTGTTGTGTTAATTTTGTTGTCGTATTGATTAATAATAAAGGGAGATTATTCAGATTCATTGTAAACATTCTCAATTCTTCTGCACATTCAATACAATCTTTTTCGGATTCCATTCTATTTCACAGGAGCACGCTCACAATCGTCTAGAGTGTCTGGATATTCATGGGTGCCCTCAATTAAAATCATTGCCTGAACGGATGAACACCCTCCTTCCATCTCTTACTCGCCTATTAATATCCCATTGTCCACAAGTGGAGTCGTTCTCTGATGGAGGTTTGCCATCAAGTCTCGAAGATCTGAGTCTCTGTAATTGCTCCAAAATGATGGCTTCACTAAGAGGGGCTTTGGAAGCCAACAACACCTCTCTGGAATTGTCTATTGGAGAAGTGGATGTGGAGTCTTTTCCTGATGAAGGGTTGCTGCCGCTCTGTGTTACTTCTCTAGCAATACATGATTGTCCAAATCTTAAAAAACTGAACTACAAGGGTCTCTGCCACCTCTCCTCGCTCAAGTCATTGATTATTGATGACTGTCCCAGCCTCCAATGCTTACCAGAGGAGGGTCTGCCCCAATCCATTTCAACCTTCCAAATTCGAGGCAACTGTCCAATGCTCATACACCGTTGTCAGCAACCAAATGGAGAAGACTGGGGAAAGATTGCTCACATAAAAGACTTGCGGATTTAGGGTGAAATAGTAAGATGAATGACAAATTGAAAATTCCACGTGCCCCAATTCTCATGTGTGTCCCCAGTTCTCCACAATATCTTTGTAACATTTTTAAATACAATCTTATTTTTTAAAAAATTTTCTCTCTCTCGTTAGCATTAATTTACCAAACAATACCAACATAGTCAATAGAGTACTCTGTCAGTATTGGGAGTTATGATGATTTCATCTTTCTTTAGCTTGTTGGGTAAATATTTCCTTTTTCACTTTCCTTCTTTCTTCTTAGTTCGTACTCCTTACATTATTTATGGAATGTGATTTTCTCGCAAACACTTTTGTTTTCTGGCATGGAGGTTTGCTCACTTTTTTAAAAGATAAACGAAGCAACATAATACCTTTTGTTTGCTGCAGTAAACATTCATCAAATCTTCCGATGTCTATTGTTCTTATCAAGTTATTGGATATTTGGTTTTATGGGCTCGGATTGAAAGAGTTGTCAATAAGGAACTATGGTGGTACCGGATTTCCAGATTGGTTTGGACTTAGGAGATAATTCATTATCCAATGCGCTGTCCTCAAACTTATGCAAATTTAGAAATTGTGTCTTGTTGCCTTGGACTCTTGTCATCTCTCAAGAAACTGTCAGTGATGAGGCTTGATTGGATAGTACTGATTATTGGAGCTGGATTTTATGGGAGCAGCAAGTAGCTCTTCTGTTATTCCAATTTGCTTACCAGGAAAACCCCGTCCTCAAACTTTCTAATCTCAGATTTGCTTCATGGTTGTAGATGTTGAGTTATGTATTGGACAAGATATTTCACAGTTAGGTTTTGTTCCCAATTCCTTACGAAAAAATATTGTCATTGATAACTTGATTTTGGTATATTGTTAAATAATTTGAAGGGTTGAATTCTAAAGAGATAGTTGTTTGAATTTTCTTATATTGCAAAGGTTTAGTAAAAAGTAATTTTAAACCCTAAATTCTACTTCTAAGTGAAGAACTGAATGTTAAACAATATGCAATTTAATATGTTCCATTATGAAAGACTAAAACACAGAAGCTAAAAGAACTGTATTTCATTTATTATCATGATCTCATTTATTCAAAGAATCAAACTAAAAGCACTCTCATAAGTTAATAAAAAAAAGCACTCTTACAAGTAGTTTGAGACATGAGTCGGCTGCATGTGGTGAATAGTTCTCATCTTTTTCAGTCTTGCTTTTTAGACTAGCTAAATGCCTAAATCTTATGGATTTAATCTTACATCAACTGAAATACCTGATATTTATTTACCAACATGATTCTCATATATCCACATGACTAACAGATATCATAACTCACAAAGTTCTTAAGTTTTATAATTTTAAACTGGTTTTTTTTTTCCAGCCCTTAGGATTGTCTCTCTTGCTGTACAGTTTTTTATTTTGACCCTTTTCTCGGATGAAGAGGTAAAAGATGAGATCATTTATGTCTAATAAATGAGTAAATGGATACATATGCATGATGCATTCAACATTTTTATGTTAAATTATTTTATTGGATCCTTTGGTTCAATTAAAATTTCAAAAGTCCTTATTGTTTGAAAATAAATTAGAGATTCTTATATTTTATTAGTTCATATTGATTATATTATTTTTTCAGTTAAGTTCCTAAAACTTGTTTAAAAGAATAATTTATCATTTTTTTTCTAAATCCAAATTTTAATTCATAAATAACCAAATGTATATTTTAACTAAAAAAAAAAATTTACTTTTAATAAACTTGTTTAAAAAAATTAAAACGAAATGTCTAATAAAAAAATTACAAATTTTTTAGAAAAAAATATCATTATTTATGGTGAAAGATCATATATATTAATAGAATTTTTATTGATTTATAAATAGATAATCATTAAAAAAAATAGATCACATTTAAAAAAAAATACTTTAAATTTGAGTTTTTGTATATACAAAAATATCTCTAATAGTAAACTCACCAATCATATCTAAGTGCGTAATCCAAATCAGATCAAAATCAAAGCATATAGAAAACTAAAAAAAATAAAAATTAGTATGATTAAAAAAAAAGATTTTGGATAGTAAATATGTTTACATATTTTTTTATAAATAAAAAATTTAATTATCAGAGAATGCATTGAATTAATTTAGTGTGAAATACTTGTTTATATCATATTAAAAACAAATAAAAATTTGCCCATGAAATAAAATTAATTCTCTAAAATTTTGTGAAATAATATAATTTTACATCTCAAAAATAATAAATCTTTTTTTTTCTTACTCAAGAAGTATTTTTTAAAATATTTTATAGAAATTAATATATTATACAATCAAAGTATATTATATATAAATCTAGATACTTGGGTATAAAACAATTATAATAAAAATGTTAAAGTTGATAGATATTCTATTATTCTTTTGAAAGTAAGATATAAAATAAAAAAATAAAATAAAGTAAAATTTTATTAGTCAAATGCATTATAAAGATAAAATTGAAGTATAATACAAATTTTCCCTTAACCAAGTTTGATGTCTTATATTCTTTTAAAAATTATAATTAGTTTAAATATTCATTAAGTTATTATAATTAAAACTTACTTATAAATCAATTCTTATTTTTAAAAGACTTACATTTTATTACATTTTGATCCCATTAATGATGTTATATCCACAAGAATTAAAATCTATAAACAAAACTCATAAGAACTAAAACATAAATTTTTTTGAAGTATCAAAGTAAAATCAAAAGACTAAATGTATGTTTTAACATTTTTCAAAGAAGAAAAACTCAAACATAAATAAAATAAAAGCTAGGTCAAAACATTACATTAAGTTAAATAATGGCTTATTTAAATTTATTGGACATGATAATGTGTAGTGCTGACTTCTGCTGCTTTCACTTCACCTAAGATTGTAAATATGTACCATAGTCATTATGTTACTATGAAATTAAAAAGACGTGTCTACAATGAAAGGGGAAAAAGACGTTGAACTCCAATATTACAGAGACGAGAATCAGAACATCCTACGGATTGTGACTGGAACGAGCAGTAGCAAAAGATCTTAATGGTTCTAGCACAAGACAGACACAAATTTTAGAATAAAGAAGCCCACAGGTAGAACTGTATGTATAACATCCAACTCTGTAGTGGCTCCAATTCCATCCTCCCACAACATTTTCATGATTTCTGCATAATGAAAAGCACAAGATGAGATTTTACCCCCCCCAAAAAAAAGTAAAGCAAGATGTGATTTGGTATGCACTTGACAAGAAAAGGTAAACATGAAAAGACTAGCCGTCATAAGTAGGTATCTCAAACCTGCATCGGAAGGTACAATTTGAACTCTGGCGGGAGTTCCTCTTCTGAGTAGAGGCGATCAGAGAAGTATATCCTTCTCAGGCGACAGTTTGCATGGACCTGAACTCGCAGTGTCTCCACATAATTAGTACCATATGCTCTCTTGGTGAAGTCAGCCAGATTAAACTGGATTTGATTCCACCCGTCATCCATTCTCAGAGGCATAGTGCAAATGTAGGGCTTAACTCGAGTGACAGCCTATTATGACATGAAAATAAGAGTGCGTGAGATCATTTGTAATATTGACAAAAATAATTCATTTGTAATCATATTGACAGTATTTCAAAAGGAAATTGCATCACTGTATTTCTAAAAAATTATTAAGATTTTGTTTCAGCAAGTATTGTCAGGCAGTATGCCTTTTCTTCATTTTATAACTACCAAAGTATATCCAAAAGTGACATTGCTTGATAGTATGAACTAAGAACTATTATACCACTGACATACCCCAATCTTGTAAGGATTTACAAATGAAAAATTGTAGGATAAGATAGAGCTCCAGTCACTTAAACCAGAAACCACTTCAAATCCCAAATATAACCTTTTTATTTTAGTGTCCTTTTCAAAGTATGCAGATAAGAAAATCCCAATTCCTATCTTAAACAACAGGGAGTATGATTGAAAACCCCACAGCCCAAACAATCCCTTCCGGACAATGTACACTTAAGTTCTTAGTAGCAGATTAAACATGTCAAATCTTAAAAGTAAACAAGATCATGTTTTATTTCCTGTTAACATAGCTAATTAATCTTCACACCAAGTAATCAATGAGTAAATATCACCTTATAAGACTACTAACCCAATGTCACTTAATCTCAAAGCAATTTTGCACATACAAACTAATTTAACAGGTTGAACATGAAATTTGTGAATTTACATTGACATAGACCTTACAGAAAAAAGGATGAGAGGATACAAAATGTCAAATTGCAGATTTCATCACAGACTTGGGGATCATCACCAAGATTGCTTTAAGACATTCTAACTATTTAATACAATGACCCAAGAAAAGAATCATGCCACAATATTACCACTTAGAAAATCAAAGTTATCTATATTAGGAAGAAGCAAGTACTCATGCACATGCATTACATATGGAAGAAATTAAACATCTGCAAGTTGTGAGCAAATCCATCAGACAGACAAACATGGGCAGACTTACACACTTGAAAATTTGAAGCTCGAAATCGCCGTCTAACATTCTTATCATCCAAAACTTGAATTTCAAATGTGAAATACTTCTTTAGATTCTTGACAATCATAACCAATAATGGAAGTTTTATACCAAGCGTTGCAGCAGGGTCAGCTGGGCACGTAATGTATGTGGACTGAATATTTGATCCAATTATTTCCAGTACGTTGGATTGTATGTCTTCATCCTGTGGTCGTTTAATATGGCCATTCACAACTATAAAGAAGATCCAAGACAAAATTGATCACATAAGATTTACTTTGAACATGAAAAGATTACTACTACCATCAAGCAAACCACAAGTATATTAAAACAATCAATTACCTATTATAGACAGCTTCACTCATCAAATATATCATCACCAAGAAATAAAACAAAGGGATTGACCAATGAATGGAATCAAAATCATATTATCAGAGAGATAAGGTTGGAACTTGGAAACCACCAATCACTAAAGCTTATATTAGGAAAGAACCTAGAGGCAAGCAACGAGAATCAAATGCTTAACAGATTACATAAGAGGCAATGAAGAGATTTAGGAGCAAAAGTTGACCTGCATGACTATAAGAAAAGGGAAAAACTGATGCGATCACCAAGGGTAAAAACCTTAAGAATATCACAAGAAGAGGAAGCAAAAACACCTAAATCAGATATGAAAAACCTTGAATAAACCGCAACCCACTGACATCTTGCACCCATGAACCTTGATACAATATTCAAAGTTGGAACCTAAGATACAATGAGCAAAACACACCTAAATCCCACAATTACTCTCACTAACAAACCCCAAGCAAGACACTCTGACCCAACAACATACTGTGGTTACGAACCAAAAGTTATCAACACTGTTTTGCTCCAGTTTCTGATAGATATCCAACTCTAATTTTTATTACACTTTAAGGCTAACTGGCTAAGTACAAAGCATATAATGCAACATATGTATATGAAATACAATAAACACCATAGAGATTGGGGAATTTTCTTTAACTTATTTCATTTTTATCAAGCTTCTTTACAGCAACAACAACAACAACCCAGCCTTCTTATTCCCATTAGGAGGTAAAGTACATGCATAAATTGATGCCATTGAGCTCTATGAAGAACTAAATTTTCAACAGTATCGTTTACAGTAAGGTCTCATTAGTGGTTTCTCCATAAATTTTCATCAGTCTTTCTCTACCCCTTCTCATCAAAGCATCTTCCATTTGAGGTTTCTCAACTTTTCTCACTAGAGCCACAAGCAAATAACCTTAAGCACATTTTGGTCATCTTCTCTTCTATACATTCTACTCCAAATTTCTCCTGAATATGCATCCATTCCTAATCTTTTTTTTCCCTCACATCCACACGCCTACTATTTTACCACACTTAGTTTTTGCACAAGTTGGCATTCGATTTACCAGCATTCACTACAACAAGGTGTAATCATAAAAAATAATTCAGACGTATATATTGAAAAAAGATACGTGGATTAAAAGGCATGATGTTTCAACTAAGACACAGAATAACATAATAGAGTATTGTTGACATATAGGAGAAAGAATCACTAGGAAAAGCAATCCAAGAATGCACAAATTTCCTTTCAAAATGTGAAAAATGGAAATACCAAAATTAATCTCTCAAACACACATGAAAACCTAAAGCACTCTTAGCTCATATTTTACACATCAACCTCTCATGACATATAGACAAAAGTAAAATTTTGAAAACCAAAACATAAAGTGTCATTTATATGTAATTTCAGATCATGCAAAGCAGCGTACTGAATTTAAAACAAGCTCAAAATAAAGAAATTTGCAAGGGGTGTATTTTAGATGGTAAAGTGCAATATTAGAATGATTAACTGGAAAATGAATGGTTGAAATTTAGTAATTTCACAATTTGTTAAGTGTGAATATATTTTATCACAATTTCAACCATTGATTTTTCAATCAGTGATAATAATCTTTTACTTTACCTCCAAAATGCACCCCTCACTTTGAAGCATCCAAATCCCAAAATATAACCACCTGATGCTACTGCTAACCAGAAAACACTTACCTTCTTTGTCCCAAATCTGCAACGGTTTACTCCTATATAAATTGTAAAACAATGATAAATTTCAGTATCTTCATCATAGCAAAAATGCAAAACAAAAATGTGAAACAAGCAGGCCAATACACAACATACCCAAGGCTGTATAATATGGAAAGAAATCCAGATTGGAATGTGTTCTTGAACATCTTCTGCACCGCCAAAAGCCACAACACAACGACTGCACAGGAAATTGAAAAACACGCCAACAGAGATTTAGCATAATATTACACACACAACAATCCGAACGGGATCGACTCCGATTCAGGAAAGTAAAGAGAAAAGGAGAAACAAAATAAAAACAAAAAGTAATTGAAAGAGAGATAAACGAAATCAGAGTAGCAATCTGAAACCCTAACATGATGAAAACACGAATTGTTTCGTTTATGAAAAGCAAAGGAGGATAAAGAAACACAGAAAATAGCGGCAAAGTGAGGATCAACACCTATTTGTTTCCCCGGAAAGTTGGCGCACCGAAATGCAGAGCTCGGGATTCAGCGGGAAACTACTCTTCAAGGTTTTGCTTGTAGTAGAGGAGACTCTGGAAATATTCGTAATTTCGATATATAAATTTTTGAATGAAAAGGTTATAAGGGCGAAAAAAAAAAGTATTTTACTTTTTACTAGTAAACATACCTCTGGAATTTCTAGGTTCGTTTATCTTTTTTATTGAATTGTTCCGTATAAAAATAATTTTAAAAATTATATTTTAAAATATTTAATAATTTATATTATAAAAAATTAATATTATTTTTTATTATTTAAAAAATAAATTAATTTAAATCAAATAGTATATATTTTATATTATTTAATAAATAAAAAAATTAATAATTTATTAAATATACACGCAATTGCACGATTTTATTTATATTTTTTATTAAACAATTATTTACAAATAATATTTTAAATATAAAAATATTTAAACAAATTTATAATATATTTTATATTATTATTAGTTTAAAAATAAAATAGTTTACAAAATTATATATACCGTACATATATAATATATTTTTAAGATTTAATGACCAATAGTTTTAAAAAATTAAATTTAATTAATTTTTAATTATTTGTTTAAATTTTAATAATTTATGTGAAATATATAACTCGAAATTTTATAAAAAAAATTATATGTATTTTTTATTAGTTCTCATTAATTTTATCATATTAATTATAATATATTATAAATTTTTAATAATTTTGTTAAAATATGTCTAATCAATATATTACTTTATACAAATCATAATAATTATAAAAACATATTTATATAAATTTTGTTATAAATACATTCTTTATATTATAAAATTATCAAAATTTAATAATTTTAATTTTTTATTATTTAAATTTTATTTATCAACAACAAGTTTGAAATCTCTTTATGAATTTATTATTTTTTCCAATAGTTCTAAAATATTTTGTAAGTTTTTTATAAATTTTTTAATAAACTTAAAAATATAAACATTTCTTACCTATCAATTCAATAATTTAATTTAAATTTATATTATTGTAAGTTGAATTAGTTAACAAAATATTGACTAATATAATTAATTTAAATTAATATAAAATTTTAATATATTATATGATTTAAAATTAATATAATTTTATATTTATTTAACAAATAGAAAATAAAATACTTTAATATTAAAGAAAAAATATCAACATAAAAAGTATATGTATTTATTTGTTTAAATTATTTTTTAAAATTAACCTGACTGTGAATCATAAAAATAAAAAGAAAATAGTAAAAAGAACTTTTGACAGATTTTAAAAAGTTGTGTAAAAATTATTTGTATAAAAGATAAAGAATTGAATAAACTTTCATTTTAATTCATAAAATATGTTCAATCAGTTAAATAAGTCTTCTAAAATTAAATTTTGAAACATTAATCCTTAAAATTAATAATTGTTAGTTAATTTAGTCTTTGCCATTAAAAATAAGTAATAGAGAATTAATTTATCAAGTTAAGTGACATATAAGCATGTAATCGACTTCAAACGACATCATATATATGCATTACTTCATCTTATTCTTTTTTCTTTCTCTTTTTCTTGATCATTGCTCCAACATTACTAATCCAAACAACATCCCTCCTTCAAATTTTCTTCGACTTTTATTAAGTTAGATTTTACTCCTTGATAACATCTTATTTTCCTTCTATTCACAATTACACCAATTTTTTTTCTTTCATAAAGTAGTTTTGAATATCAAAACATCACTCTCTCATACCCTCAAACACTTTCCCTTTATTGTTGGCAACATTGTTTAGTTTTGTAATTCCAAAAACTTATCATTTAATACAACTATGGTGCTGTCGTTTCTTTAATAGTTGCATAATTTGACGTTGAAACAATAGAATCTTATGGTTTAATATCTCACTCATTAACACAGTTCAAGTAAAGTTTATGCTCACATGAGTGGATCTGAAGAAGATAAAGAGAAAGATATTGTTCCAATGAGATGTATTAGATGGAGGAGAATCATTATAAACAAAGACACGAGCATGCAATGTTGAATCCCACCACTACAAAAGTTGATCTAAGGTTAAAGAAGCAGAACATAAAACAAATGAAAAAATCAAAATAAGAAAAAAGAAACAAAACAAAAGAAAAATTTCCCTTTAAAAAACTCATTTGTGTAAATTGAGAATATGAATATGCATATAAATGAAAGGAAAAAGTAAATAAATTATACAAAGGTAGTGAAGTTTGGTTGAAGAAATATCTTCTTTTGCAATGTTAAGGCATCACTGACCACCACCTTTCATCCTATATCTAACATGTTTTTCTTCTTCTTCTTTTTTGGGTTTAATTTGGAGTTTTGAAAAGAAGAAAAAAATCACAACATTTGAAGTACATGTAAATGTCTACATGCCACTTAAAATGACAAATCAACAATTTGTTATCTATTTTTAATGTTTCTTAACATCAAGGACTAAAGTAGTTGATATTTGTTATTTTTAAGGACTAGATTCAGCCTACCAATCATTTTTTATATCATTTAATTTCTAAGATTAAAGGAGCTTTCAAAGCCATTAATTTTGTTAAGCTTTTACATTTCTGTAGGTGGACCAATAAGTGTGCTGGTTTCCAGGCCAAATTAGGCTTAGATATGCTTGCCCTATTTCTATGATCCTCCTTTTTCTTTTCTTGCTTTCTTGAGTTTAAACTCTTGTAGTCTAATGTTCCCTAGACTGATTGTGTAGTTTTAGCTATTGGGCTTTTGTTCTCTTTATTAGAAAAAAAAAATCAAATTTAGTGTATGTTTGATATATTATATAAAAATATAAATAAATATTTTTTAAATTTTCTATAAAGTTAATAAAAATATATGATTATTTTTTTTTCAAACCAAGTAAATCTTAAATACATATACATTATTGCTCCTAACACTTTAATCTAAAAAATACGTTTTTCTAAAATTTTAATTGAATTGCATTGGTAATATAAAAAGATATTTTGCATTATTATGGATTAGTCACTTATAACCATTAACTAACTTGTCATTCTTGCGTTGCGTTGTACAATAATATTAATTAAAAATAACAATATTTATATTTTTAAATAAAATAGAAAAACATATTATTATAAAATTGTAATGAAACATAAAATAAAAATATATTTATAATATAAAATAGCCTATTTATAAATAAATATAAATTATTAAAGTAAAATAGAACAGTGTTATTAATCATATCATAATTAATAAAAAAATATAATTACTTATTACTTTAGAATGAATTTTGTATATAAGTTTTAGCATAAAATTTATAATACGATGTTTAATCTTTTATTATAAAAAAATTAACTGTCATTTACATTGAATTGAAATGGCAAAGAAATTTCTCCGGCGCAACTGCTCATTCTAGTAGAAAACTCGTGTTTAAGAAAAACAAATTCATTAAATTGATGGAATATCCACCGAAAAATTGAGAATAATATATCTTTAAAAATGAAAATTTTCACGAATTTCTTTTTATATATTTTATTACATGTATTTTTTAATATTAAAATAATATATAAATAAATGTTTTTTTATTGTAATGATTTCACTACTTATCAAATTTAGCTCTAAACTTCCTATAATGTATTTGCAACTTGCAAGGGCGAGGCCAAGTTAGTGGGCCAATGTTCATGCTGCTTCACAGCCATTCCCATTTCAAAAGGAGAATCTAATAGCATATCAATGTGAATTTCTTCACACCCCATAACTTTTGTCTAAAATTTTAATTTCAAAATTCATAAAAACATGAAAAAAATTAATTTTAAAAGTTCTTTATAATTTACCATTTTAAAATTTAATTTCTAAAATACATTAAAATATTTTAAAAAAATAAATTTAAAAAATTTAAACAAAAGTTAATATAAAAAAGAGGTACGAATCGCATTTTCTATAATTTAATGGATAGGTCCTATGTTAAAGTAGGCCTTAATTTTTAATTTCTAAAATTGGCCCAGCAAAGGGTCTATACTATCCATGCAGAGTACATGTCACTTTCAAATGAACCGCGAAAGGCTCCACCAAAGTTTTACTGTTCTAATGAGCACCAAAATGTAAAAAGATCAAAGTTTTAGTGTCATAAATTTTAGAAGGTAAACTAATATTTATTATTTTCCTGTCTTTTACGGAATCTTCAAGAGCCATAGATGAATCATTTTAAGAGCTTCTTAGTTGAAATTTGAAATATTGCAACAAATATTTGACTAAAGTACATTTACTTTGCTCTTGAGCCCAATATATAAAAAATTAGGTTAGCTTACTTTTTTTTTAAGTAATTAATGATATGTGTTTTCTTTAGTAAAAGATAAGTGTGTTTGTTTATAATTTTTATTAAATTATTTTATTTAAAGTTATTTAAGAAAATCATTTTAAATATAAAAATATGTTTTAAAAATAAAAATTAATATTTATTAAATTATAATAAAATTTTATCATAAAAAATATTAAATATAATTGAAGAAGCTTATCAAATATTTCATTATGCTATTAATTTAGTTTTTCACTAGTTTAATTTTTTTTCAAATTCAATTTAACAGAGTATGTTAATCATTTATAATTTAATTAAGAGTTAGTAAAAAAAAAATAACTATACAATAATTAAATGATAAAATAACATGTTAATTATATATATATATATATATTATTTTTTATTTATTTCTTTTAGTTTAAAAATTTTATATTAAGTTTTATCACAAAATTTTTGTTAAAGTCAAAATTTAAAAACACAAGCTATTCACTTTCAAAATAAAGTCTATCAAATTAAGGTTGACGAATTACTTTTCTACTTCATAAATTTTGTAATATCAAGTGTCCTATGCTACAATTTTCATGACCCATTTACTTTTTTTATTGCATTAATTTATGACTCAATTTATAAGTTTAAATAGCAGATAACTTAATATATTTAACTAGCATTAGTTTTTATTATTAGTTTTTTGTGCTTATTATGGCTTTAAAAATATTTATTGAAGATGAGATATCTCTACACAAATTAAATATGATTTTCACAAAAAAAAATTAATACTTTTTAAATAATTTTATATAAGTATATTAATAAAAAATAGTACTTTAAAAATATTAGTTATAATTAATACTTGAATAATACCTTAAAATAATGTGTTAAAAATTATAAGAATATTATATAAATAAAAATTCTTACTATAATTTATTAGCTATCAATAATACAGGTAACAATTAAATAAATATATAACTTAATTTGATAATAAATTATTATATTTTACTTAATGAAAAAATCAATTCTAAATATTTAATTATTTTCATTTAATTTTTAAGAAATTTTATTTATTTAAAAATGTATAGTAAAAATATATTATATAAAATAAATATTTTTAATGTATTACCCGCTAAAAAATACAATATCATTTTATAAAAAACCAGTTAAAATAATTTTTTTAAAAGTAATTAACCTATAAGTTAATCACATAACCCACTTAATTCTATAAGTTTTTTCAGTCCAATAAACTTTTCATATAATAAACATTTTGTCCTATAATTTTTTTGGTTAAGACTAAATTAACTAGGCTTAGGGTTATCCTATTTAACAACTTTACTAGTGATAGGGCAGGTGAACCCAACCAGCAAAACTAGGAAAATAGAAGGCCAATGATTTAAAATCTTTTAATTAATATGAACAGAGATTGTAAAACGCCCCGTTTTATCAGAAGAAAGAAAGAACACACAAAAGTTAAAAAGGGAGAGCGTCCTATTGTTTCCTTACACAGCGCTCCCTCCCTCCCGCCATTCCATTTTTTAAGATATATTTTAAGCTTTGAGTATAAATATAGATTTAAATATATTTTTTTTAAATTTTGTGAGACTTTTATGATATTTGAATTTATTAAATATTAACTGTCTTGTAATTTTAAAATGATTTTAGGAAATTATTTGATAATTTTTTATTATGAATGAATAATAATTATAATATATATTTTTATAATTATTGTTTTTATTATCTGTAAATTATTTATTTAAAAATATAAGTTTTAAAACTATTTCTTGAAAGTTTATTATAACACAAATATTGTTAAATTATATGAATTTATTTATAAAATTAAAAATATATTTTTATTTTTATTTAAAAAAGACATTCTTAATAAGAGAGAATTATTAATAAGGTAGAGTTAGTTTAAACTTTATTTTTTTTTATAATATTTCTTATATTAGTATATTAATATTTATTTTATAATATTTTAAAAAATTAATATTTTTAAATTTTTTTATGTATAAATATTTGAAATTATTCTTGTATAAGAATAATTTTTTTAAAAATAATGTGTTATAATTAAATTCTGTAATTATAAATTATGCTTATTTATTTATTTATTATAATTATTATGCATGTGTTAACTTTGTGGGAATTTTCTCTTATTTATTATAGTTATTATTCTATTAGTTTTTTTAAAAATAAATGTGAATATAAATAATTTTTTATTGTAAAAAATATTTTTTTTAAATATATAATTATTAAAAAATTTATGTAAGTCGAAAAGGACTGAAAATTTTCATACAATATCCAAAGCCACGTGTTAATACCAGCATGATACTTCAGCCACGTGCCACCTTTAGGAGCGATCTTATCCATTTACACGTACTCATATGAAGGCATTACTGAAAGTGGACAAACACTTCTCGTACCCATCTCCATAAGCTGATGGATTTCATGCAAAAACAAATAAATAATACAGCAGATGATCCATGAACAATTTTTTATGGATACTTTCACATTATTTATGTTCAGCAATTATGATTAATTTTAATTAAATAATCACTTTTAAAAATAAACTGAATTTATAAGAAAAAGAATATAATTTTATTTAACATTTTTTTAGTAGTGAATAAAATCAATTCATTTATGAAATTTTTGGAAGAGTTTAAAATTTTCATTTATTCAATAGTTATTATTTTAAGCAGATAATATGACAAGCTAAAATAAAGGATACTATTACTTTTGGTGGTGTAACAAAAGAGCACATACAAAATTAAATTTTAAACAACTAAAAATAAGTTAGTGAAATAATAATAATAAAGGAGAACAAAAAAATTAAATAGATTCACTTTTTGAGTCAATCTTATAACAAATTAAAACGGAAAAATAGTTTCACATAGAAGTAATAAAAAATATAGCTAACACTTAAAAAGAGTTATTGAATACCTTCACATAAACCAAAGAAGAAAAAATCTAATCTGTTATTTATCATTTTCATTTATTATTATTATTATTATTATTATTATTATTATTACTACTTTATACAATAAAGATAGATTTTTAAAAAATATTTAAAAGGTTATGTATCACGTGTTCTTTAAAGTATTATTTTTGGAAATGAAATATAAAATTACAATCATTGATAAACAATTAATTGTTAAAAATATTTATTATATTAAAAATATAAAAATATGATAAATATTTTTTAATAAAATATATTATTATTATCAAATATTTAATCATTCTTAAAAATTAAATTAAAAGTAATATATTTTTATATTTTAATTATATGCACTTTTTTTGTTTTCTTAAAGAATTAATAATTTACCATCAAGCATGTTAATCTACTAGCAAAGAGTTGTTTTGCCTTGTTTTGTAGTTTTGAGTTAGACTATAAATAAATGCAATTGTATTGAATACATGTAGGATAACTTTTACTACACATAGTAATTTTATTCAATTTAAATAAGATTGTTTTTTTTTTAAATACTTGAAATTTAGAAGGAAAAAAATTTAATAGTTTGATTATATCTCCACTAGTAATAGAGGTAAAGAATTTTTTTTTATTTTGTAAAATATTCATGAAATCGTTCAATAATCCGACTAAGAGAGTCTGACTTTCATCCAAACAAGTTACAAATAAAATGTTTTTTAACAGGAGTAATTTTTATATAATAAATTTTTATTAAAAATTATAAACCTTAATACAATTTAATATATTAATATAATTAAATATTATAATTTTTAATGAAAACAAATATTTAAAAATAATAATAAACTAATAAAGAACTTGTTGTGATCTTGAAAGCATCTAAACACTACTTTGCAGAAGAAAAATCATAAAATGGATTTACTTTTGAGGCCACTGGTGTGAGATGCTGAAATAATAAATCCTGAAGTGGGACCAAATATTGCAAAGAGGGCAAATAAGATTTCAGTTTTAGATGGAGAACTTTAGGCCACAAATATCGACCCCAAAACGTTCTCAGCCACAAACTCATAAGAAGTCTCTTTCTTTTGCCTTTTTGTTTTCTCACAACTGTCTGTAGCTGCTTTAACCCACTTTGGGACTGCACCTTCTTATATATTTGTAACTCTTTCTAACTAACTTATATTCAATAAAATATTTGCACAGCCGCCTCAGTTTTTCAGCTGCCAGAACTGAAATACTATGAACCCAACTAGGATCTTCTCAAGTTGTGTTCATTGCTGACTACTTTATCTCCAATTGCGTTGGTACTTGGTTTGTTTTCATCAGTCAGAAATTCGGTTCTCTCTCTTCTTTTGTTGGTAAACCATATAAAGGTATGTTCCTTTGACCCCCTTCTAGTATTAATTGTGTTTGAGTTATTATTCTTGTGTAAGGAGTGATTTTAAGGCAATCCAACAGCCTTGAAGAAGTTATTTTTTGAGATGGCAAAGGTATATGGTGTTTAGTATTATTTTTATCAGCTTTCTCTTATTTTTGTGTGATTTTTTTTTCCTTTCCCCTTTTCTGAGCTTTTAGAACTTGGATTAGAGCATGAGGGCATGAATGAAATGGGATTTAATTCTTTAATAAGGGCAGTAAATGGGGAAGGAATAAAAACTTGGATTAATCTTTGAAGAGAAAGTGATGTAGAAACTACCAACTTGCATACCTTTCTTATGCTTGGTTGAATGAAGTGCTACTTTTCTGTAAATCAATTTGGTTTTGTGTTTGTATATGACTCACCAAATTCTGCATACTTCTCATTTTTAAAGAACATTTACTAGTATTCTTCACACTTTTTGAACACTCTGCAGAATATTTGGCATGGATTGGTACTATGGACGTGGCCATAATGATTTTCTTGTACCCAAAGATCAAGAAGAGTTATTCGAGAGGTATCCTTCACCAGACAATTGGTCAAAATGGGGAATAAGTGAACCTGAAGGCTTTAATTCACCCCAAAAGTGTTTGATTATGAACACAAAAGCAACAGAGGTAGAATTCAATTTCATTGATGAAAGTTTCAATAATGAAATTGAGTTTGACCCTTCTCCATATGATAAAGACCAGTCTAGCAGTTCAAGTGTATGTGGAGAATTGCCTGAGCAATCTTTTCAACAAACAGCACTTTCATGTGATCATCAACCTAAGTACCAGCTTCAAGACCTATCAAGTTTCGAAAACATGGATGACATTTTCTTGTATAAGCGTAACCTCTGGGACTAAGATACTTGGTTTTATGCCTGTAGGATAATGAAATCATGTAGAATCTGAAATGCTTTAACCTGGCATGAGTGTGCCCTGCATTGTAGCAAGTCCAGTGCAAATTGAATTGTTCTGCGGTGTTTTTTGCATTCCAAATTTCGCTATATTTATCATTATGGTTGGAGCCACTACAGACTAACACAATCATACTTATTTGTTCTCAGAACTCTATAAGCATGAGCCTGTTATAGCATGGTAAGGGCTCCCATTTTCTTTAATAAATTCATTGTGGAAAGGCCTTTTTCTTTTTTTTTTTAATCTTTCATTACATATGTACCAAAGAGACATTCAATGTTCACTGGCTTAGATAGGCATGATGTTAATCCAGTTCAGATGACTATGTTTTATCTTACAGCCTCCACACATTTCTCATAATGCAGGGATTCTGTGCTTGAAGATTTTCCCTGTGTTGAAAACCTACAGAAATCCTTCTTTTATTCCAAAAATCAACGCAGCAATATATCTGGTGATCACTGGATTTTAGAGTGAATGAGTAATTTGAAAAATATATATGATATGGATTTACAAAATACCTTATACATGCTTTCTTTCTATTAGGTGGGTTGCAGAAAGATATTGCAGCTTCAGGGTTTGTTCCATGCAACTTGGACTATAAGGATTGCCCAAATATAGAGGTGATAATTACCTTTGGTCTAGTAGCTCAAATAGTGTTTCAAAATCATAAATTTGTAGCAACCATGTAGTCAGCAAATCACTTGTAATCAGATCAAAATTCTAATTTGTTTAGCAGTAGCATAGATTGCATGCTGCTTACTAGAGTACTTATTGATGTATTATGGAGATATTATTTCTGATTACAAACTTTGCTGTACTGGTAAGTGATTTCAATCTTCAAATTTTCATGCTTTCAGCAACCGTGTCAATAATTTCTTTTATTACATCACAAGTTCACAGCATAGAATGGGCAGAAAAAATAAAAGACTGTAGCTGTAGTATACTAGTATTTCTTTTGTGTAGAGTATTTTGGGAAGAAATAAATAAATCATGACTGAATATAATTATTTAAACTAATAGATCTAATTTCCATACAAATTCTGATTACAAAGTATGTTTTAGGCTCTTCTTTGAAAGCTTACAGTGTAATATAATCTACTCAATTTCTCTTTAAGGCAAAGGCAGTCGAAGTCTTGGACCCTTTTGAGCTGTCCAATGAAGATATGACCATGCATGAGCAGTTATCTCATGAGGAATCTACACTGCAGGATCTTGAGATGATAATTGCGCAGGTGACGTGACTTAGAACTGAAATTCCTGGCATATAAATATATGCAATGATAAGAAATGCTACTAACACTTACACTATGTTTTAGCATATTTTTTTATTGTTTGAAATCCACGTGTGTCTAACTAAATATCGTGCATCCCACTCCCTATTTAGTTAGACTCATGTGGATTACACTCAATAATAAAGAGTGTAATGAAAGGAGTGTACTACTAGCATTTCTCGCATCATAGTACTTGCTGCTAATTGTTTTTTCCGTTCGCATTACTAGTTCACTGAGAAGACTCGTATTTGTTTCCGAGATGCCCTGTACCGCCTTGCTAGAGATACAAAACATGAAGTAGAGGAGCTGGATGGAAGTCTTAACATGCATCAGGCAATGCCAAGTGCAGTTTACAGTGAAACCATGAGGTACATGATTTAGATATGCTGCATTTCTGTTATGATCTTTTAGCCTTTAGTTACTACATGTTATGGTGAAACAGTAATTCTTTATGTTGATTTGGATGACAGCATAACTTCTACTTGGTTTGGCCTGAAACTACTTGACACCAAATGCAATTTTACTCCTTCAATGCTTCTGCTTTGGACATGAAATATGCTTTTAGCATTAGCTTCACATTCACTTATTTATTTTCTTTCAGATATATTGTAGTTATTGAAATAGTATCAATCGAAGATATTTATGTTCTCTAGTTTAGTGTTTCCATATTAACTAACACTTTTTTGTACCACTGATTGTAACGCATTGAACATTGGTAGTGTTAGACACAAGTCCAGATAATAGTTTACAGTTTTTTCTTTCCTGAAACTGCTTAAATGATGAACACCCTTGGTTGAAATGCTAACTTGATGCGTAGGTCTGAGAACCAAAAACCAATAATTGAATCAGAGACCAACAGTCTTGACAGAGCTGTTGCAAATCTCATGTTCAACAAGATGGAAATTAACATACTAGATCTTGAAGCAGTTGGAAGTAAAGGTCTTCAAGGAAAAAGCTCAAAACCCTTGGATGTGGCACGAAATTTTCACTATTCACAACCCCACGAGGTGCCAACAGATGCTGAGGTTCCAAGGTTTGGACTAACGGACCAAGAAGCCACAGAATCACATTGCCTGAGCAGATCGTACTAAGAAGTTATTTATGCTTGAATTTGGTTAGGCAATGTGACCGTGAGCTGCTTCCCACCAGCTAAACCAGAAATAAGAAAAACCAATTTCCTGTAATTATGCAGCCCTTTATCATAAAAAAGGCTTGGACATTTGACTATTTTGGCTTCTATATCTGCATGTATATATGCTTTTGAACTTGAATTATTTGTATTCTGTAGCTTCTATCCAAAGGCTAGCTGTATCCATCCAACTCAGTTTTGGTTTTGATTGGAATGTAAGTGATTGAATTGATCAACTAGCAATTAGCAAAGCTGTGATCAGTTCAAGATTCTTAGGTGTTGAGCACCTGGATATTTTTCTTGTAGTGCAAATGTGAATTGATCAACTAGCTATTAGAACATCTGGGGTCAGGATTCTTAGGCATCTTGATATTTTGTTTGGAGGGTAAATAAGTGAATTTATCAACTAGTTGTTACCAGTACTGTTCAGCTTAGGAGTAAAATATATGTGGTGTCTTTGGATAATCTGTAAAATAAAAACACTTCTATGATATATATTTTTTTAAGAATTTATTCTAAAAAATTAAATTGTTATTACTTTAAGAAAATAATACTTAAATAGATTGTTTTAGGATATTTCAGAAAAAATATCTAATCTGCATAGAAATTTTTGGACATGTTTCTGAATTAAAAGGCACTTTAACTTAAACATAAGGCAGTCCGGATTTATGATTATGCTGGTATATCAGAGCTAAGAAAGTGATGATGTGAAGTGAATATGAATGCTATTTTCAGTAACATAAAAACTTTAAGCTCAAAATCAGGCATTAGCTTGTTTGCTGATCTTGAAATAGATTTGAACCTAGGTTCTTTCAATGATACCTAGATCTGACTTTATTAGTATTAAATTATTGATTTTATTAATTTCAGTCCTTAGGATTGAGGTTAATATTTTTCTTAATTTTTTTTTGTCTAAGATCAGAGACTATGATGTGTCTCTAAAAGCAAAAATTTTAAAACTGATTTTTGCTTGCAATATGTGGTTACTTCTGGCTTGAGGAAATTTACACATGGTAGAGTTTAAACAGACTTGCTAAATAGATCAATTTCACACTTTTGAATGGAGTCTTTTTCCATTGTGCCACCTCAGCGAGTTTAACATTTTCCTTAAATTATTAAATGGCAAATGCATCAATTAGTGTACGTTTATCTTTTATTTATTTATTTTTGTGTCAACAAATGCATCCATTGGTCTACACACTGAAAGACAATGGAACTCTGAAGAATGGCCTGAGACAATAGAGCTCTTGGCAGTGGGTTGTGCCATGACAGTGAGAGAAAAGGGCAATGGAAATCTTGAAAAGGAAATGGAAGAAGCATTTTGTCTAACAACTAAGACAGTATTTAAGGGTGTCCATTACGTGACTTTCACAATCTAAAATCTGTGGGATTTACCTTTTTAATATTTATTTCACTATTTGTTTTTCCGTTTGTGAATCAGAAACAACAGATTGTTGCTTCTCACATATAGTGATTTTGAAATTTATACAACATGAGTTCAACTACAACTTAACAAGCAATAAGAGTGACTTCAAGAGAGATCTAGTTTCCTTTCTTTGTTATATCATATTTTTTATCAGTAGAGTTAAACTTAAAATAATATTATTTCTATAGCAGAAAAAAAGAGAGAAAAGAAAAGAAATACTCTCATCTCTCTCTCTTGTAATAAACTTCCAAAAGTTGACTTTTGTGTATGTTCTGAAGCTTCTAAATTCTGACTTTTAAGCTTCTATTGACCACCCATGTGTACCTTAGGTTTAAGATACCTTGGACCATCGAAAGCAAATAAAATAAAATATTCTTAAACTATTTATTTGTTATTTAACTTAGTCTATCACTGAAGGCTAAAATTATTAATAAATCATATTGGCCAATACTTTATTTCAATCCCAATAAAAACCACAACTTCTGCAAAACTAGATTTTGAGCAAAGAACTTATGAAAAATTTATGGAAGTAATTTATAATTCTAATAAACTTTTTTTTAGTTTATTTTAATAAGTTTTTTTTTTTTTTTATCAAAATAGGTTATTGTTAGCTTATTCCAACAAGTTTCATAGTTAATTTATAGCTTAAGTTATCATTTAAGAAAATTATTAAATAAAGGCTTAAATAAAGTGTATTTGACTCTATAATTTATTTGTTTTCTTAAATTTAGATAGTTTGAAAACAATCTAGCTCCTGATCATGTGGTTAAATCTATAATTTATGAAATTATAAAATCTTATTTAAGGATATTTGAAAAAGTTTTACTATGTATCCAATCACACCTCTAATTCTCCCCCTCTTGACATTAAAGCTGTTTCATCTATTCAGCGTGTAATCAAACCTTTATTTATTCAAAATTTAGCTAGTCTGAGGCTTTATGCCACCCCACATTGTCAAAGTTATCATAACATTTTCAAGTGATTTATATATCTTTTGAATATAAAAAAAATCCGAAAGTCATCCCCCTCCCTCAGCTCGAATTTTCAACAACAATCAACGAATATTTTAAAAGAATTGCAAAATAGTATAACATGTTATAGTGGAGATACAATTGCATTTGACTCTATATCTAAAGTTGACACGAAAAATTTAGGATACAATTGCATTTATTTAAATGTTGAAATTTTATAATTTTAAAATTTTCACCTTATTTAATTTTGTTTTTATAATGGAATATTTGTTATTAATAAATATAATATTAAAATTTTAAATTATAAAAATAATTAAATTTTAAAATATTCGTACAAAATATTTTTGCATTACATTGATGTATGAAAGGATAAAGTAATGGATATTATAGTCGTTAGCAATTAAAGTTGGATAAAAACCAGAAAATCAAATCATCCATTTTACCAAATAAGCTAACAAAGCTTCTGAAAAATCCAGAATGATTACCTATCTTTAGCCTATTTTTAAACGGAACCAAACCATTTGACGAGTCCCTGTCAATTGTCTTCAGAAACGAAAAAGAAAAACTAAACTATAAATCACAGTACCTAACTAAAAGTCAGTACAATTTAGAAAGAAAAAAAACATAGCGGAGTGTTCAAACGTTGATAGAAATGTAGAGCCACCAAACGCCAACGTGCATCCCACAATCTAGTTTTCTTCGTATAAATCAACACAACCTGTACATGTTAACTCCCCAAAACCCAACCAAAATCATTGAACCTTGGTTTGCCTCGAACTATATCCCATAAAGTTTTCTCCTCACCTTATTTCATTCCCTTCTCCCTAGCATTAATGGCACCACCACCACCACCGTTGCCATTATTGTCGCCGCCTCCATCGTCACTGTTATTACCCAAAGAAGAGTCATCGGCCACCGCCACCGCCACCACCGACGAGAAACCGCCGAGGGCCCTCCGTGTGCCCATTTCACTTCAACCGGCGAACACCAAGAGCAAACGCGATTCCAAGTCCAACAAACTTTTTCGAAGGTTCCGTTCCGTGTTCCGGTCATTCCCCATTATTGTGCCGTCATGCAAGATGCCGGTGATGAACGGAATCCGCGGCAATGAGGTGCACATCCACGGAGGGACGAGAATTACCGGAACCCTATTTGGACACCGGAAAGCAAGGATAAACCTTGCATTCCAAGAAAATTCTAAGTGTCACCCATTTCTACTCTTGGAGCTAGCTATCCACACGGGTAAGCTGCTTCAAGATATGGAAATGGGGCTGAATAGAATAGCGTTGGAGTGCGAGAAACACCCCAACAATGAGAAGGTTAAGATCATTGATGAACCCATTTGGTCTTTGTTTTGCAATGGGAAGAAAACGGGGTATGGGGTGAAGAGAGAGCCTACGGATGATGACTTGAGCGTGATGCAATTGTTGCATGCAGTGTCTGTAGCCGTCGGTGTTCTTCCCAATGAGATGGCTGATCCTCATGATGGCGAGCTCTCTTACATGAGAGCGCATTTTGAACGTGTAGTTGGGTCCAAAGATTCAGAGACTTATTATATGATGATGCCTGATGGCAACAATGGTGGCCCAGAGCTCAGTGTGTTCTTCGTCAGAATTTGATTGGCACGTCAGAAAATGGGCAAGGAAATATTGAGCTTAATTTTGTTTTCTTATTTGTGAAGATTTTAAATTCCTCGCTTTAGGTGCTGCAGTCATGGTATGATAGGTGGTGCAATTTAGAATATGTGATGCATCTACAAGATTAGATATAGTGAATGTATAACATGAATATACATACATATTCTTAGAATGGTTATTAGAAGGTAGGAGTTTCTTCTTCTTCTTCTTTTTCCCTTTTCCAGTTAGGATAAGTACTATTTAAGGTAGATAAGAATTAGAGAAGCAAAGCTTGTGTTGTATGGACGGAAGGGCAGGCAAGAAAGACGAAAGATGATGTACATTTTCTTTGTTCTTTTGTTAGGAAACAAATTTAGTGTATTTTTTTTTTAATTTCAAGTAATTGTGTACTTGCATTTATGTATTTTATTTTTCTTTGTATTTTCAATGGGAATGTGACAGATTAAGAATGATTTAAGGAACTTTTGTAATCAAGTTCGGCAGAGTTCTTGAATTAATCAGTTATAGAGAATATATATACTAAAGTCATAATTATTAATGCTGAGAAATTGTGCAGGTATGTTTATTTAATTTTCAGAGTGAAAATACTTTCTTTATGTATTTATCTTTGAGATTTACTAGGATTTATGGTAATATTTAAATATTTTTAAAGCCTTACATTTTACTAATTTTTTTCAAGGGGTTAATTGAGAGCTTTTGATCTAATACATGTGTAATGAAACAAAAAGACGTGGAGGCTTGTATTGAGACTACCGTTAGTATTAGAGCAATAATGAATTTATAAGCCAGCTTTTATTTTCAGCTCTTAAATTTGGATAGTTCCACTTTTTAATACTTATAAATTATAAAATTAATTAATCAAACTGTTGGTTTAAAAATTCTTGTCAATTATATATTTTTATATAAAAATAAAATGAATAGGTAGTTCATTATATTACTTTATTTTAATAGATAATAATATATTTTAATATATAATTAAATATTAAATTTTGAGTAATATACTTTTAATATACACAATCATAAAAATAGTAAAAGATGATTTAATCTTGTATTTTATGAAAGCAATTATTGAAGAAGTGTAAGTGTTTAATCTGACATTTAATATAAACTAATCTAACCATTCAAATAATATTATGAGTCAATTTTTTTTTACGAGAGTATGTAAACATAATTTATTTTACCATTCAATTGTTGTATATATTTAGTATTTAGAGTAAGATTAAAAAAAATTGTCATGCACAAATAAATTTATAAACTAAATACTTTAATTTTTTAGTCATATAAAAATTATATTTATCATTAATTTAGCCTTTTAAATATTTAATATCATGAAACTTTTAATGCCCAAATTGATATCAAATGATTTTTTTAAATATCAAATCAATATTTTCAAAAATTGAAAGTAACTTATAATGATTTATATATTAAAATAGATATTAAGGTAAAAAAAAATTATTTCATAATATTATTAAGTTTTCTTAAACAAATATTACTAAAGAAGAAAAAAACAAAATTACATAACATGCATTTAAAATGTTGAAATTATCATCAATGAATTCTCTAATTATATGTTAAGGAGATAAATAATAATTTATACCGATTTAATTTGGTTAATTATTTTGCAAATAAACTCTCAATGCAGTAAGTTATTTTTTAAATTATTTTATTTAGTTATTTATTTAATTTAAAGTGTCATTAATTTTTAAATTGTATATTTAAAAAGATGTGTAATCATTAATTATTATATTTATACATTTAATTAATTATATGTTATATATTTAATTTTTATAATAATCTAATGTATAATATATAGTTATTTATTGTAATTATATAACATATCGTGTCTATTTTATATTTAATCAATTTTTTGTCATACACTATTAGTGTATTAAATTGTAGCATTATTTTTATGTAATTTACTATTTGTTGTAATAAATTAAATAATTATAGTTTCATGTAAGTAAATATTTATATTGTAATTTGGTGAATTTCAATAAAACACAATTTAGTGATTGTTAACTATTTTATTTTTGCTAGATGTTAAATATATTTTGAGAATTTAAATTTAGTTTCATATTATAGTAATTTATTTATTTATTGTAATGAGACTTTATACATCAAAATAAATTATTTTGTATGTTGTTTGATGTATGTTTTGCTTTTGATATAATTTTAGTTTTACATTTTTGCAAATACTTTGTTATAATTTATAAAATTTAATAAATAACATTATAGCTTTTGTTAAATTTATTCTGTGATGTAGTTAATTTAAATTTAATTTTTTTGTAATGTATTTATTTAAATTTCATATTGTATATGATAAAAATATTAACCAATATTTTTGTACAATTTTTATTTATCAGTTAAATAACATATTTAGTTTGTACAGTTAACATATATATATATATATATATTTAAAAATTAATTCATTTACTTAAAAAATATATTTTAGTCTTTATACAAAAATTTTATTACATTTTGATCCTTATTACAGTGACGTTAAGAATGAAATATATCAAATCATAATAAAATATTAGTGTAAGGACTATAATATTTGTTATTTTAAGTACAAAAATTTAACTTTTGTAGAAATTAACACTTAATTAAGCTTATATTTTGTATGTGATATATTAATTTTTATAATATATTTCAAAAACAATTTTTTCATATAAAAAATAAATATATTATTATATTTGAGATGAGAAATTACATTATTATTTAAATTTTTAAAAGATTAATTTTATTATATAAATAAATTTACAAATTTTCTATCATGATAGAAGTAAATAATTTTTATCATATTGACTCAAAATCTCATTAATTAGTTTTTTTTATCAATTAGATAAAGAAATATATAGATATTTAGAGCATATTTATTTTTATTTTTAAAATCAGTTTTATATTTTTAAAAATAAAATATAATACAAATTTTTTATTAAAATTTATATTTAATAAATATTAAATATATTTCAATAATATTATAATTATTATTTATAATATTTTGATTTAACAAATTATTTTTGAAGTTGCTCAGATAATTATAAATTAAATTATCAACATAATTTAAAATTAAATAAAATAAATTTCCTTAATATATTTTATTTTTTAACCATAACTTACTAGAAGTTATTATTATTAGTAAGTTCTTTGTAACCATAAAATTTCAATGTTAGTGTAGGGGTATTTTGGAGTTTTCATGTGACCATAAAATGGGTTTTGGAAGGGTTCTCCAGCAAAGTGAAAATCTGTTCCTCTGTTACTGTTCGACTCATCAGCCCATTGGCCACGTCCTGGTGTTTTCTGGTTAGCTCTTTGTGTGTTCTGGCGAACCCATGCTCTCTGTCCATTGATTCTGCATTTTCCTTGAAGCTCCCTGTTTTCCCTTTTGTTCTCACTGTCCTGCTGTTACTGTTTTTCTCTTCCTTTCTTATTCTCTTTTTCTTTCACTTATGACTTCTTATTGTCAATTATGAATATGTCATGGATTTTGATTACTCATTTACTTTTTGAGCATTTATGTGTATTTAGTATAAATTATGTAATCTATATAAATAATTTCAGAATATTGGCAATGGCAGTTTTAGGGTTGGCTGCTAAGTGCCGCTATCCATCATTGATAACCACGATTTAGACATCTCTCGTTTTCTCTTTTTCTCAACAGTTTTAATTCAGTTTAGTTTGTTTGGCTTTCATTTTTGTGTGTCAGTTGCTTTGATAAGATTTTTTCATTTTGTTTATAAAATCTATTGCTAACTTGCTGAATTCACAGTGATACAGGAACCTGATTGCTTCGTCTGCAGAGGGAGGTTTGTTAATTCCTGGGTCAGTATGGCTACCCAGACAATAGTTGAAACTGCGCAGAAAATTGTCACTCCCGAAACCCTCCGCTATGCAGCCAACCAATCCCAACGTTGCCTCGTTGTCCCTGTCCGTCTTCGGCGTGCCATTAAAAAATACCTTCGAGGTCCTTTTTTTTTTTCTGTGCTTAATTTTTCTCCTAATATGCAATACTTATATATTTATATTTTTATATTTGTGTGATTACAATTGTTCATGGCGGTCTTGGGATTATAGAGCAGGAGGAGCCTTATATGAGGAGGAAAGTCTTGAGATTGTCTCAATCATTCAATCAAATCAAGGATGTCAATCTACAGCTGGCAACCAGTACAGCAGAGAAGATAGTTGAAGACCCTTTAAAGTCTTTTGAACAATCAAAGCGTTGGAAGATTAAGAGCGCTTATGGGGACATTGGTCTCACATATACAGATGCTGAGACAATTGCTTATGTGGCTTCTCGAATGCCTGCTGTTTATTCTGCTTGTTATAGAGTACTTAAAGAGGTAGGAGATAAACATAAAATGGGTGAATTATGTGTCAAAATGAATAGTGATTGGTAATCCCTAATATGTGGGATTACAATGTCATCTTGTTCATCTTGTTTTTTTGTTTACTTTCCACGTTGTATCATGGGTGTAGGATCAGGTACATTATGATTTAATTTCCTTAAGGTGTGAACCATGTATCTCCTTGATGTATGTTTACTTTAACTTTGTATTTTAATGAACACCTAAGAAATAAAGACTTTCAGTCTTGAACAAAAAGTTCACCTGAAGTTAATTTCAACAAAGCCCTTTATTTTATGTCTTTTCAGGTTCGCAGAAGGCTTCCTGGTTTCTCCCCATCGAAGGTATTAGATTTTGGTGCTGGGACAGGTTCAGCTTTCTGGTAAAATATTCTTGAACTTTGTTCTGGCAAATGATTAATTTTGATATTATCAGTTTTAGTATGTTATCCAATTGAACTTTTTTGTTGCCTTTCAAATGTGATGATTCAGGGCACTGCAAGAAGTTTGGCCAAAATCATTAGAGAAAATTAATTTAATAGAACCATCACAGTCAATGCAACGTGCAGGTCGAAGCCTCATACAAGGTATATGTTGATAACCATTTTTTGAACAAGATAGGTTTCTTATTGCGTTCAATTTGAGGGGAGTGAGGATAAAGATTATTGAGTTTTAGGCGAAAGCTGGAAGAGCAACTGCTCAATTTGGAATGATGTGTATCTTTGAAGCAATGGAAGAGGGTCCATTCATATATAAATTTACAATTATGTTGAAATCATGGAATGTAACTGTAATTTAAAACTGTTTATGGATTACCAAATTTTCTCATTTGACATTATTCTTAAACAATTATTAGTCAATTTTGTGTGGGTTATTTGCTCAAAAACTATTTGTATGCTTGATTAGAGAGCTGAGCACCTTTCCATGTCCTAATGCATACTGGTATGGGTGATCAGTAATAACTATCACATTACAGCCCACAGCTAGAAATGTTATATATAAGGGTGCATACATGGGCTTCGCTTATTTGATACTTTAGGTCTTGGTACTCTTCGGGAACTGCTTTGGTCATCACCTAGAAGTGAGTATTTTATTAGACTTGATTAGAAGTCCAATAGTGTTTATATTCAGTGAACATAAGATCAACAATTTCAAGATTGCAGAAACAAATCCTATTCTTTCAAAGGTGCAGAAAAAATAAAAGAAAATTCCGTACTTCAATCTTTAAATGATAAAAAATTGAATTCTAGAACATAGTTACTGAAAATATTGAATAGACTTGCATATGTGTAAAAAATTGAAGCAGGGTCTTCTCCTGTCTTAATCTATATAAATTTTTGTATTTTTTTTTTTTCATCTATTATTATTTCAGTTGGACTCAAGTTGTCAATTTTGGTAATCTGGGTCATGCGCCCCTTCATTCATGGGATGTGTAACAAAGGCCATGTTTCAGAGGACGCTCCACTGAAGATAAAATATCTGGTGCAGTAGTGCACTGAAGATAAAATGATAGTTATTTCATTGTGTATATAAAATTCACAGCTTATTGTATAGGATTTTGAGTGATGGATTATGATCCCTCTTGTTAAAATCTTTAAGGGGTGATGATAAACCTGTAATCACAAATCAGCAGAAGAGGGCACTTGGGTCAAGCCACAGCAGCACCTGACCTGATTTTCATTTTTTATTCTTTCATGCATTGGGTCATTTGTTCCTATTATGTAGGGGTTTATGGAGTCTTTCTTTCAGTTGTGAAACTTTTCAGTGCTTTGTTTCACCCATTTTTTAAATTAAAATAATTATGACCATGCCCACTACTCCTGGTTCCAGAGTCAACGAATTAGTTTTCAGGAAGTCAGGGGGTCATCCTAGTCTGTATATTTTTTATGTTCAGTTTGTAATTGTAATGGGAAAAATTTCAGAAAAAACTTTTATTCCCTGGAGATTTTCCTTTTGGTATTAATTTCTCTTGTAGTAAGATTCTTCCTCTAGAAAAATTAGTAGATTAATTCATTTACTCTTACTTTTCTATTCCAGCTATCTATCAGGTGTTTGCATATGACTTGATTGGGATTAGTTTGATTATTTGTCCTGCATTTATGAAGAAAAGATGAAGGTGATTAGGTTATAGGAAATATCAGAATATAATTAAAGTTTCTGAGTCATGGCTGAGAGGAGTGATTTGAGTTGGGAAAATCAACTTTTCAAGAATTAGGCATCTTTAATCAGTAATCACCTAACAAATGATAGCAATGCTGCCCATTGGGCGTGCAGGTTAGTTGCTGCAAAATCATTCCTTTAAATTATTGAGTGGCCATTGAGGAAAGAACCTTCACAGGGTATATTCAACAATTGCTAATTATTTAAGTTTTCAAGCTGTTGTTAGAGGAAACAATACTAATCCTACTGAAAACAAGAAGGATTTTCTCCTTTCAAGGTGAATTACATGAAAAGGAAAACTATTAAAACAAGAAATTTATCTATTTATAGGAGTTGTCAGCATAATAAGATTTTAAACTTTATGAAAGAAATAGTCTCACCTGTCTTACTGTGTTTTGTTCTTCATTAGGAAATTGATTCTAGTGATGATGCCTAGTCATTCAAGTCACTGATGAATTATTGTCCTTACCATCAATTGTGTTCCAGGATTTCCCCATTATGTAATGCTATGTATGTTATGTTCATTTATGTTGTGAATTCCCTGTTTAGGATTGATATTGAAATCTCTCCCTTCTGAACCTCCTAAGAAAAGCTGAAAGTGTTTAATAGTTGGTGAATTTGGATTTGTTCTGCTGTTGATTATATAGGTCTCAAGAATTTGCCACTTATTCATAGTTATGATAGCATTCAAGCACTTTCTAAAAGTATCAGTAAATCAGACAGAGGGCATGACCTTGTAATTGCTGTAAGTTTATTCTTTCAGATTATTTACATATATTAATATTAGCAACAAGTTTTTTGTTCTTCAATTTAGTTTGTGCAGTCAAGAGATGAAAATAAGCCGACCATTATTAATGGGTCTGGAAAAATATGAAATTAGTTCAAAAAGATAAAATGGACTTCAATAATAAAATTAAATCATGTTGGATTGGTTTAGTTACTCTATTTTGACTGTGGGCTAGTGCTAAAATAAAAATATTCATGTACAAAAAGAATTGCATGAGCATTATATACAATAAATTTTAGCAACATTCTCTGTTTAGAAAGGGAGAAACAAGAAAGCTTAGGATCAATCTGTGTGTTTTGAATACACAGCGAAGCTATCCATTTATAATAATAAGTCATAATATATTATATATGTGATTTACAGTTATCTGGAATCAAGTACCCTATTTACAATATTACTCCATTTTTTTACATTAATGTCAACACTTTCACTCAAGTTAGAGCATATAAATCACATGCACCAAACTTGTTACATATTAGGTCTCTTTTAGGATTTAGTGAAGATATTTGCTAGTTGATCATTAGAATTAACGGATTGAGTGATCAACTAATTGAGTGATAATATCTTTTCTTTAATGAAGTGACAATTTATCTTAATGTGCTTAATCCTCCCATGAAAAACTAGGTTTCAGGTAATATGAAAAGCAGTTTGATTGCCACAAATTAGGGTCATCTATGTAATCTCTCCAAACTTCAATTCCTTCGACAACTGTTTTATTTTTGTCAACCTTCAGTAGTTGTTTGAATCATCTGAGTTCACAAGTGATGAAGCCATGACTTGATACTCTACTTTTGCACTTGATCATACAACAATGCTTTGTTTTTTGTTTTTCCAAGAGATCAAATTATCACCAAAGAAAATGCAGTACCTAGAACATGACCTTCTAACTGTAGGAGAGCCTACACAATTCACATATGATTGATTATCCCACAATTTGAATGTCCTTTGTTGTCATGCAAAAAACCTTTTCCTAAGGCTTCCTTGATATATTTTATGATGGGAATAGTTGTGTTCCAATGTTTTTTATAAGAAAAATTGAGAAATTGACTCACTACACTAACAACAAAAGAGATATCAGGATGAGTTACAATGAGATAATTTAATTTTTCAACAAGTCTTTTGTATTTTTTTGGATTTGCAAGTGGCTCCCCTTGTCCTGGGTAAAAGTTTGATATTAGGGTTTGTAGGAATATCAATAGGTTTGGTGCTCATCAACCTTATTTCTTTTAGGATGTCCATGACATACTTCTTAGAAATTACAATTCTATTTTTGGATTAAGTTATTTCTAAAAGTAAGAAGTATTTAAGGTTGTCAAGATCCTTTGTTTGAAAGTGATACAAAGACGCTTCACCTATGAGATCTCATGGTGATTACTACTTGTGATGACAATGTCGTTTACGTAGACGATGAGATAAATGCATCCAACGATGGAATAACGATAGAAGATGGAATAATCAACTTTACTTTGAGTCAAATCAAATTGTTGAACCATTCTACTAAACCTACCAAGCCGGATATTGCTTAAGACCATTATGAAGCTAAGTGATTTCTTTATATATACTTCTTCCATCTAAAAAGACATTCTTGATATCTTTTTGAAAAAGGGGTAAATGACGAATGACTCTTATAGATAAGAACAAGCAATCAAAGGACATCTGATTATAGGAGAAAATGTGTCACCATAATTTACAAACTCAAGAAGCACGACTGAAGAGGGTGGATGATGTGGCATTGAAGGTGAGTCAATAGAGTCAATGATATATGGTGGTTATATATCGATGGTAAAACTAGAGAGAGTTGTTGTCGTTGATAGACTAGTAATGGGCGAGCAAGAAGTAAATTAGGTCTTTTAGGTGGTACTAGAGACTCCTCAAGAGGAGAAAAGTGAATCAAGATTGGGTGACGACTTAGAAGAAGACATAGAGTCATAAGACATTGTTAAAAAGAAGCATTAGGAGGTATAAGATAACAACAAAGAGTAGAAGAATAATACTTGTATCCTTTTGAGATTGAGTATAACCAAGGAAAACACATTTGTGGGAATGAGCAAAGAGTTTATCTAGTCCATGACCAACATTGTGAATAAAACAGGTGGAATCAAAGACCCAAAGAGGTAGGGGATAGGGGGGGTTGATGTGGATATAAGACCTATTGTTGTATTTGCCCTTGTAAAATGAAGTAAGGTATCTTATTGATGAGGTAGCATGTTGTAAAGACACGACATCACTCCAAAAACAATGGGGATTTGAACTTGAAGCAAGAAAGTGCAATTAGTCTAGAGAGGATGTTTGTTTTTATGTTCAGCAATTCTATTTGCTTGAGTGGTACGAGGGCCAAGATGTCTAATGGAGAATCTTGTGTGAGGCCATGAAACTACAAAACGAGGAAGATAACTAATCTTCGGTATTATCACTTTGTAAAGTACGAATAAAAATGTCAAATTGAGTTTTTATTTTATTATAAAGTAATTGAAAAATATCAAATAACTTATAGTAGTCTTTTATTAAATAAAGTCAAATATATTGAGAAAAATCATTAATGATAGTGACATTATTTTGACTCTAAACTAAAATGACATGACTAGAATCCTAGACATTTGAATGAACTAAAGCAAAAGGAGACAAAGTCTGACTAGTGACAGGACTAGGAAATGAACTAAGGATATGTTTACCTAATTGACATGAATCACAACATAAAGAAGACAACTTGGAGAGACACGACAATAATTGCATCATGTTGGCAAGACTGGAATATCTGTCATATAGATACTAGAGATGTGATCCAGGTAGGTAGCCAAAGAGTCATCAAGAGAGCAAGCACCGATAACAGTCACAAGATTGTGACAAACTCCATAAAGCCATTGGGTTTTGTTGGTATGAAATCAACCCATGCCCATATAGCTTCACATTTCTCATAGGCACAAAAAACAGGCCAAATAGAGGGATGAAGGGTGGCCTTAATTCTGCAACAAAGTTGGACATCAATCTCTTCCAGCAAGGACAGTCAACCTTAGTACTAGTTTTGACATTCATAGTGAGATGCTCATCATAATCCTGTCCAATAAGCAAAAAACAAATATTAGAAGCCCAAGCAATATAATTTTTTCTATCTAATTGATTAATAGAGAGAGTAGTATCGACGAGGTTGGTAAAGATGACTGATTCAACCTTGGGTGGGTGGGGGTTTGAGAGCAGCCATGGGCAGTGGAGAAGAGAGAGAAATAGGTCGTGAATAGTACCAAAAATGCCAAACAGGAGGTGATGGATCAATGATTGAGCAATGAAACCACAAATTTGGGGAGAGGACGTTGTGACAATGCTGACAACAAAAAAAAAAATAGGGCCACTGTGGCGACGAGACAGGTAAACAACCTGCTGCTGTGGGGGTGTGTGCAGGTGTGTTGGAGCTCCGATGAGGGTGGGCTGGCTGGTGTTGGATTGTGCAGGCAATGACAACCCAAATCTGCTGCCCAGTGGTTGGAAAAGTTGCTGGAAAAAATGGTCGCCTATGATGAACAGTAACTAGAGAGAAAGTGCTGGAAAACAAACCAGAAATCGGAAACAAAATGGTTTTTGAAATAATTTTATGCCAATGGGAATGCATGAATTAGGGTTACTCTCTTGTGAGTCCCATGTTGAAAAAGAGAGAAAGGAGAAGGCATAGGATGGATCCGTGTGTTTTGACTACACAGTGGAGTTACTGATTTCTAATAAGAAGTCATAATAAATAAATAATTTACACTTATTTAGAATCACACTAATTACATAGTTAGCCTATTTATAATATTACCTTATTTGCATTAATCTCAACATCGTCACTGACACAGTGTAAGTGTCTAACCACATCATGTCTCTTACCAAAAATTAAGACTGAAGAACATTTTATACACTGTCTATAACTTCATTGAAAATTGTCAGTTTATGCATTGTTTCATGCATGGAACTCTTAATTTACAGGCAGCTACATTAGATGGATTTGAAGATCTAATTGTTTACCGAACTAATTTAGTAAATACAAAGGATAGTCAAAATCGGTACATTGTTCATATATTTAAGATTTTCTTGAATCCAATTTCTAAATTTTGATTGAAACAAGTTAAATAATTCGGCTAAATTTGATGTCTGTCCTGTTTGTTGTACAACCCTAATTGCCTTTTCTGCAATGCTCTGGGGGCATGCTTTTGTTAGTTATTTTGTTTTTCAAATATTGAGCTTATAAAGTATTTGTTTGTTTTCTTAAATTGATGCTAATTGTTAGCGATCTTTTTTATTGGCTGAAGTCGTATGTTCTTGGAGAGATCCCATCACTAAAGGATCGAATTACCATAGTTCGCCAGCTTTGGGATCTAACACAGGATGTTCTGGTATGATTTCTAGCTTATAGTTTTATTTTCCTGTGAAAGAGAGGATCGTCACTTTCTGGCCAGGTGTTGTTTTAACAATTCTTGAAAGTAAAACATGGTAATTGGGTGAGGAAAAGGAGTTGTAGGAGCAAAGAGAAATGTCTATTCATAATAGAAAAACGTTTCTTTACAAAGAAATGAATGAGGGCACTTTTGAATTCATAAATTTATTGTTTTGTTTAATTCTTTAAATCTTTTATCTAATGTTATTTCCATTTGTGAAATGAACTTCTTGTAGGTTCTGGTTGAACCAGGAACACCTCATGGATCTAATATTATAACTCAGATGAGATCTCACATATTATGGATGGAAGAAAGAGTAAAGTTACTCCTGGTTTTAAGCAAAATTTGAATAATGATGAATAATCTTTGTATTCTGTCTTTGCCACCACAGTTGTGCAGTTCTCCTCCAGTGTTTTATTCTAACAAAACATGGAATTTGTTGCCTTTGTAGAAACATCGTAAATCTTCTCATAAGAACAAGGAAGTTTGTAAAGATTTGATCACTCAGAATGCCTGTGCCTTCGTAGTTGCGCCTGTAAGTATATTACATTTTTACTCATCTTTTGCAATTTTACCAGGATCGCTCTCTCTCCTTCTGCCTGTCCCTTTTTTAATCCTTTTTGTCATTTTGGTAAATTTTCTTCATGCAGTGTCCTCATGATGGGACTTGTCCACTAGTAAAATCGGGAAAATATTGTCATTTTGTTCAGCGCTTGGAAAGGACATCATCACAACGTGCCTACAAGGTTTCTCCTTAAGCCATATTTTACTTTCTGTATTGGAAAGAATTGTGTTGCCCCTTTTCTTTGATATCAATAACGATTAACATATCAAAAAAATAAATTTCTGTTCTAAATTCATCATTGCAGCGTTCGAAAGGTGAGCCTTTACGTGGATTTGAAGATGAGAAATTTTCCTATGTTGTTTTCAGACGGGGACAAAGGCCAAGGCAAGTGTTTTCATTTAATCTTCCATTCCATGTTTGAACTACAGCAATATAGATAACAAATAGAATAAGAGAAAATGCCTAGTATTTTTCATGAAAATTTAACAAGCCTGTGCTTACGTTCTCCAAATAATTTTAAACAAGCTTATGTGAAAATTTATCATGATTTCTTTCTTTTGATATGGATGATTTCATATGGTTACATTTTCTGTTCACTGAGCTTCACTTTCTGATGCTTCCTACCCTGATCATTGAATGGCACAATCCATATTTTCCAGGCATAAGTGCTTTCATTCTATGTAACTCTTGATTCTTTTTTCCCATACCTTGTACCAGGGAACCTTGGCCTCTTGATGGTTTAAAATTTGACACTCTGAAGGAGCAGCATGCAAAAAGAAATCCAGAGGATCTTGAAATTGACTATGGTACTTGTTACCTGACATCTGCATTCTTGCTTTCTGTTAAGATACTCTGGAACAAAGCATATGTTCTAATCTGCTTTTAAACCAGCTTCCTTTGCCTGGGATATGGGGAAGGGCTATGGAGATTAGAAAGGACTGTTTGGTTTCAGGAAGTGTTTTCTGTTTTCATTGTTTGTACTTTAGTTACAAAAATTTCACCTTATTTTCATTTTGTTTCTGTGTAGGAAACAGTGAGAACAATACATTTTCGTAATTAAAAATGAAAACAGAACGTTTTCTCAAGCCACATGGCGTCTAAACTTTTCATTTTTGTTATTTATTTCTCTTTACTTTTCAGAGGACTGGTTAAAGTTGCAACAAGCTGATGATACTCCTCATGAAGTAGCAGATGCAGTAACTTATGATTCTGATGATTTGGAAACTGGTGATGGTCCTCGTGAAGCAGTAAATGCAGTGACTTATGACTCTGATGTGGTGGAAACCGATGCTGCCAATGATAATGAAGAGGACAAGGATGCGGAAGAAGAAAGAGCTAGTGCTGATCTTGGAGGTGGCTGGGGCAGGATTGTCTTCATGCCTGTCAGAAGGGGTAGACAAGTCACAATGAATGTGTGTAGATCCACCAAAAGGGATGCCTCAGAGGGTTCATATGACCGTATTGTTGTAACACACAGCAAGAATCCTACGTTGCATCGTCAAGCCAAAAGATCTATTTGGGGTGACCTCTGGCCGTTTTGAAGCAAAATAATTTGTCGTGTTGTTTTATTTTATTTTTGTCATTCCATGTGCCTCTCTCACATGTACCAATATTTAAGGGCCATGTTTTCAAAATTGGAGGAAAGAAAATAGTAAGTGCTATACGGAGGTTTTGGAAGTGTCTTTTACCCTAACATGGAACACGAATCAACAATGAAGATTCAAATTAATTATTTGACCTTGTAATAATCCATTTAATGATTGCTAACAATAATATACATGAGTAAGGGATTAGAAATACACACGATAGCTTCTACATCTCTTGTTTATGCTTCGATGCTGAAGTTTGCTAACTTGTTAAGGTTGTTATTAATTGTTCAAATGGTTCTCAGAAACATTGATTGGAGTTACTGTGATACTGTATAACCCTGCCTCCTGAATCTCTACTAGCCTGTGTGGGTATTGCCAACAGAATTGAGGGGATAAATCCAAATTTACAAGGCTAGTTTAATTGAGGTTTATGGGAGCAAAAAAGTATAATTTCAATTAAGGTTTTAATAACATTCAGTCTCTAAAAATATCATGTCTTTTGATTTTAGGTTTTATAAAAATTTTATTTAGTTGTAGTCTCTAAAAATACAAAAGAAAAGTGGTTTTAGTTCTTGACGAGGAGCTAAATCTAAAATCATGTGCTTTTTGTTAAATAGAAGGATTAAAACTAAAAGATATAATATTTTAAGAACTAAAATGTTATCTAAGGCTTCAATTAAGGAAGGTTGCAATGGAAGAACTAATGAGACTACATTTGTTTATTTTTCTTATTTTATTTATTACTCGAATCAATCAGATTAATTTTATCACATGGAGTGTTTGAGGGATGTCATTGACCGTTAAGCTTAGCTTTTAAAATTCAACATTGATTTGTGAAAAGAAAGAAATGTCTAAAGAGTGTAAATGAGTCAAGTCAAGTACTTAACGTTTAAGTTTGATTTATTTATTTAAATGAGCTAAATTTATAGTTTGAGATTGGCTTGATTAAAAATTTTAAAGCTTGAACTTGACTTATTGATTAATTATAATATATTTCTTTTTTTACAAATTTTGAATAATTTATTATTTAATTAATATTTTTACACTAAAAAGTAAAGTAACATGATAATAAAATATAATTTTATCTATGAGAAGATAATTTAAGGTTAAAAATAAAATAAAATTTTAAAAATAGTATTTTTATTTAAAAAAAATTATGGTCACTTATTTAAAATAAAATTCTTAAAAAATTAAAACTAGGTAAATAATATACACAGTGAGAATAATAAGAAGATATAAATATTAAATAAATATAATAGAAAGAGTAGTTAGGACGATTTTTTTTAACTGATGTACTATAAGTAAGATTTACAACTGCAAACTACTTATGCATTATTTATTCCTTTTTTACTTACTATAATTATTATACTCTCATTAAGTGGAAGATCTCTCTAAACTAAGCATTTTACTTTGACTTATAGATACGGAGTTAGTGATCGTTGACTATGGTCCTCCAGTGAAGCAGGATTTTGGTCTTACGAGGTGGTTGGTGATGTCGATATTTTGAATTTGGTGGCGGAGACACATGAACCGATGGATTGGTGGCTTGTGGTGAACCTGGCTAATGGTAATTTCCCTTTTTTTTTCTTTTTTTTTTTTTATCTTTCCCCTTTTTGGTTATTTTTGTATACCGATTTTGACTATGATTTGAGAGTGATTATGTTCATGGTTATTTGGTATGCTTAGTGAATAAAAAAAGTTGCCATTCTGAGTTGTGTATGTTATGTGAGCGTGGTGTTGTAAGCATAGTGAAGGAAGTGCTGACCGTGAATAAGAAAACGATAAAAATGATGGCTAGGCTATCAGATTTGTTTCAAATTTGATCTACCATTTCGTAATGAACTCGGGTGAAAATGATCCTAGAAGTGGTTGATGTAGAAATTATTATTGGAAACTCAAGGAGAAAATAGTTGCAACACATGCATTGCAGAGAGTGAACAATCATAATTCTGTGACTAAGATAAAACAAGAAATTTGTGAAAAAAATCCTTGGCAAACACTATTACTAAAGTAACTTAAATTTACTAGCCAAAGTGACAATTCTCGACAATGACATTCTAAATGTAATTTCCAATCCTTATGTTCTTGTCGGCGTAGACTGTCTTACCCAATACACATTCTGATCTTTAAGGACAAAATAGCAATTACTATAAAATCAGTATTAAAAGGTAACGGTAATTCATTTTGACCATTAATTAATTTAAATACGTATATTATGGCTAAAACATAATTGTGCTGCAATACATTACATATATGGTAACTCATTAGACACAACCATTAAAAAGTACCCTTAATATACACACACACACACACGTATATTAATTTTCTTCTTCTATAAGAACTTATAGAAGAAGAAAATTAATAAAAAATAAATAAATAAAACTTTGGCCACAAGTTAAAAATAGTTTATACTTCTCAAGTTTTAAAGAGACTAAATAAAAGAACTTCTCAAAAAATAAAAAATAAAAACATAAGTTAATTTTATCTTATGGAGAATTTATTTTGTTTTACTACTTAATTTTTGACTCCTATAAACTTCTGGAAAAGTTTATCCAAACTAAGTCAAAGATTACAAGGCATCTCTTTTGGCCCAAACAGAAAGGAGCATCAAATACGGTATTAGATTAGCAGGAAATGGTTGTACTTATTCCCAACTAGAAACAAGTCCGCTAAAACAATTATGCCATTTAAAAATTTGGGCCAAATTGTGTAAGTTATCCTTCAAACTTCAATTTCATAGGCAGATAATCAACAAGAATAACCAAGATGAAGGTTGAAAAATTGTAGTGAAAATTTAATGTAACAAAATATCATCTAAGATACTAGCAGTAACATCAAATGTCAAATTTTAAAAGATACTTGGAAGATCAAACCAAAATTTTTCGGCATAATTTAGCGTCACCACTTCTCTCCAAACATATTTAACCTAGATGTTGTATTGACTAGCAGTCCTCAGGAGTTCACACATCAAGGTGCAACCACAATCCGTCCAGCCACCTGGTCAAGATCCCGTCGGCCACTAGATGTAATTCTCCTGCCACTGAGGGATTAAAGGTATCTTATTGATCAATCCTCCAAAATTATGATACGATGATAGCAACAGATGATGCAGAATAGACTAACTATAAACTAAGAATATAAACAACAATTAAATGTGTAGAAATGCTAAAGAAAGCAACTATTCACATCCAACTAACGTGATAGCTACACAATTAACACAAATAAATAAAAGAACAGTAAAATAGACTTCAAATTTCCACTGAAGTATTGACACACATAAGGCTCCTAATCTCACTAATGTAAAGTAGCTACAAAAATTCTAGTAGATTGGTAAAGAAGCCCTTACCCCTTGGTGTCATTCTCAATGATGTTCATGTTCTGCAATTGTTGAAGAATGTGACGAGCAATTGCACCACTGCTCTTGCAGAAATGAGGAGGGCGACTACCATTCCTCTTGCTCCCACCATAAATCCTCTGAAAAGCGCCAACGCCAAGACCCCCTCTCAAGTAGATCTTTCTTGCCATGGAAGCTGAAATTAAATTGAATTAAGCACAAAAATCTATATAATTGTGCAATTTCCAACAAGGAAGACAAACCTCACCAGCTCTAACGTAATACCAATCAGGATCGTAGGGAGCCAATTCTTTAAATCTTGCAGTCTTCACAATATCTGTCCACTCTGGAAGCTCCATCTATTTAAACCAAGAGAATAAAAATATTAGAGACAACAAGCCCTGAAAATGAGGTGAAACATGCATTAATAGCTAGCTACGTTACAACACATCTTAAACAGAAAAGGGGAAAATCTTCATAATTACCCGAGCTGAAGATAAAACATAGAAGTAGCTAAGTGCGTGTTTAGTTTGGCTTAAATAATCGGTTGATATTTCTTTCAATTAACTGAGAAAGCTTTAGAAAAATAAGTAATTTCAACAATGAATTAATTCTTTACTTAATTTTATCTCTGATTGCATGTCAGCTGCTGCTTATGAGTTGCAAATTAGCATCCATTCGCTTTTTGCACAACCAATGCTTTCATTTATTTATCAAAAAATTTTGGGTTATTTTTTTGGTTGAAGTTAAGACATCAAACACACATGTTGATCACAGATCCCAAAACACCAAGATACACAAAATGCAATAGCCATTCACTTATGCAGTGTTTTCATTTGCCGACACAAACAAAAAGCTTCAACCCAACTAAAAATAATAACAATAACTGTAACTTTCAGACAGAAGGACATCAATGTTTCTGAAGACACTAAAAGACCAGCTCGCAGCACGGGTCAAAAGCACTATAAACAATTAAAAACCACCCGTTTCATGGAAAGAGAAAAACATAATGGGTTTCAGGTAAATTTTAAATCTTTGTCAAAAGAAAATTAAAAAAAAATAAATTTTTACCTTGCCGGAGCGTTTGAGGTGAGCAGAGTAAGCCCTAACGAATTCGTGAGGCGAAACGTCCTTCACAGTCCTCGCAGTAGCCATTGCTGATCTCAAGAGTAACGTTTATGGTGACGCCGCTGAACAGTGTGTTAACGAAACACGATGCTTCTCTCTCTCAACGATTAGGGTTTTTAGATTCTATCGTCAATTTGCCATTCTCTTTATTATTATTGTTTTCAACAATATTTTTGGTCCATTTTGTCATTAACTATTACTCTCTTTCTTTTACTGTTGATCTGGCCCAAACCCAGTATAAAGGCTCAGGCCCATTCCATTGTGCATGCATTTTTCTTTAGGAAGAAAACTAGTAAAATACCTTACCTGAATATGATTTTTAATAAGATAGTCACTTACGTTTTTTTAAGATCAGAAAATTAGTTTAAAAATTTATTAAGGGCAATTTTTTAAGCATTAATTTTTTTTTTACATTTAAAAATTGCTATTGGTGAATTAAAAAAAAAAGCATTTTCTAATACATAAGATCACTATTAATAACTTAAAAAAATTATTTTCAGCAACAAAAATTTGTCATTGACAAGTTTTTTGAAAAAAAAAAAATTATATACAAAATCTTCATTGTCAACTTTTTAAGCTTAAAAAAGTTATTAAAATTGTCCTACCTAGTCAAAAATGGCTATTTGCTCTGATTGAAAATAAAGTAACTCATTGCATTTTTTAGTTTTTTTTTTTTTTTATGCTTGAAGAAAAAAAATGTTCAAGTGTATTAATATACTTTAGTAGTATATTACAAACACGAGTGTAGGAGTGATATTTATATGTGAGAAACAAGTATTATATTTCATACATTTTTGTTTAGAAAACTGAAGTATTGCTTAATCAAAATATTGAAGTAAAGACTCAAAAAATATTTGAGAAAATAAACTACAGGTATCTAATCATAATTATTATCTTCCAACTTCTATCATTAAGTTGTATGTTGCTTTTAAAGATATTTCAATTAGCATATATCAAAAAGCTAACCATGACCAAGAAAAAGCATGTGCGAGCATTATTCTCGACAAAGAGATAGAATTAAATCAAAATATGATTGAAAGTAATGAATATGATTTTAAATGACAACATGAAAGAAGTGAGGATAATGAGGATGATGATGTGAATAATGACACAAATGATGAGTGCCCAAATTTATCAAATACAGTGATTGGACAATATTCATTTGGAAAGTCATTATTCATGTATGTTTTAGATCTTAATACTATGCATGCATCTAAATTTTCAAAGTGACTTGAGTGTGTCTAGTTTATAAATATTTTAGTTGCTAAATTAAATTTTAACTGTTTAATCAATTTATGTTTGCACTTGTGTTTGATAATTTTGATGTCGACGAAAAATTATATGTTGAAATGTAATTTAACAATAGAGAAACAATTATATATTAATTAAGCATTACAATATTTTAAAAGGACTTGAGTACAAAGTGTTTGAGTCAAAATTAAATATATTTTATTATAAATGTGTTAACTATAACATAGATTGTGAATAATTATTCATGTTAGTTTCAAGAAAAATAAGTATTTTTAGAAAATCAAAAAGTATAACAAGCTACATAATTGTATAAGGGCAAGGATTTTGTAGGAGCACAATAAATATAGACAAGACTGTATCATGTATTAAGTCAACTATTTATTTATATTTATCAAATCTCGACAATCTACTATTTAAGAAATGTACTAACAAAAAGACTATTTATCTATATTTGTCAAATTTCAATAACCTAATCAAAGCCAACGGTAAAATGTTATTTATTTTTAGTGATATAATTGATAAGTGACGAAGATGTAATAGTTCATCACATGTCAAATTATTAAAGTAAATGTATTTTCAATAATATGATTAATTATTAAAGAACTAAAATGAGTTTTTTCACTAAAATTATCACTAAAATGAGTTGCCACTAAAATTATTAAAAAAATTTGGAAAACTTAAAAAAAAAATGAGTTGCCACTAAAATTATTAAAGAACTCTAGAAAACTTAAAAAAAAAAAAATAAAAATCTGCTCATCAAATATGAATTCAAGAGTCTAATTATGTATAAGGATGATATTAATATTTCACAATGTTCATAAATATATTTACCTTAAATTGTATAATAATTAAGTTTTATTTCATTCCTAGATTTTTAGGTTTTATTCATTAAAGAGAAAATAAGTTTTGAAATAATTAATCCCAACAAGTTTTGAATCTTGCTTCTATGCAATAAAAAAAATTAGAACTCTATAATTAAATTTAAATCTTTACAATTTTATAATATGTGAACGATAGAGTAATTTATTAAAATTTTTTATATAAATAAAATAATATTAATTTATTTATTTAAATTTCTTTCAAAAAATATTTACATGCTTAATTTTATAACATATGATAATAAAGTAATTATATGTTGCAATTATAAACTATTATAGAAATAAAAATTAAAATGATTTAAAATAAAAGCATAAGAGGAAATTTAGAAGAAAATTTAACTATTAAAAAAATTATTTATTTATTTTATTACAAAGTATACAAAAGTTTTATGCATTTGATTTTATAACTTGTAAATAATAAAGGAATTTATATATTGTTATTATTAATTATTACACGTATATTTTGTACTTATATATATATATATATATATATATATATTTATTAATCATTAATAAATTTTAAAAATAAAATAGAATGATGTGGTTGAAAAAAAAGGAACAAATTTAATGTCTACAAGTAATTATTGAGTTACTTATTATATATAATAACATAATATATGTGAAAAAAAGTTAATGCTTTATGAATTAACATTCTTAAATGAGTTAACTCAAATTAAAGATATTGATAATATTAATTAACAATCATGAATCAATTTGATCTTTTGTATTTATTAATATAATTTAGATACTAAGACATAACTTTTACTCTCTATGAAGCATCAACTTATGACAACTGTGTCATAAACTGAATTTTTAAGTGCTCATTATACTATTATTTCATTTTTTTTCTAATTAAATCATAACCACACAATTTAATCTAACATTAATTTTACTTTTAGTATCAACGAATTTATAAATGATTTTTAATATCCAATATCTACGTACAAACTTGAGGTAAACATAGATAATTTATAAAGTAATCTACCAGCAATAATTATATTTAAAAATAAAAAAAAATACATAAAAATATTATTATCTGATTTCATGTTCTGGGTGATTTACTTCTATAATTTTAGCTGCATAATGATATTTAATGCTAAATGTAATAAAGAGTACGAGATTTGAGATTGAATTATCTATACAACACTGTCTTCCGCAGGATTTATAAACAAATTTATTTTTAGGAAAAAAAAATCATGAATTGTATATAAAGTATGTAATTGTAAATATAATGGCATAAGATACGTGTTTTTCTTAAAATATCATAGGAATACATACAAGCCATTCAATCCTGTTGGTTTTACATCATAATAATTGACATAAGTGCGTTGTCCTTAGAATTTACTTCTTTTTTTCTGAGAAAGAAAAAACACAAAGTATTTGAGCTACACATTTTATTTTAGTCACATGCATAGTTATCGAGCTACTTATTATACATAATAACAATGATTGGCTAACTAATATTATTAAGATTGTACACTCTAAATGTCAAGCCTGACCCACTTAACTTTTCTTCTATGATTTTGGATAATTTTTCAACCATTGAAGGGGAAAGATAATTTACCCAGTCTCCAATTTCTGCTTTTCGAAAGAAATGCTTATTCTCAACTATCTTGTTTTTGCCCATTATTCCAATTTTATTTACCTTCAATTCCTTCATCTTCTCAAAACTACATAACTTGATTATATTTTCAATCACTCCATTATTTTCTTCTTCTTGAGTGAAAGGATAACCTAGAAAATCTGCCACTTTTTTCACATTAAAATTGACATCTTCTTTAAGGTCTTCATACTTCAAGAACAAAACCTTGTCTGGTCTTGCTATGCTTTCTTTCCAATAACTTAAGATATGGTTCCAAGATGGACCGAACCCAATGGTCCCCTTGCAATATCGTTCAAAAGCTTCCTCTAGTGGTAATGCAGGTAAAAAATTTGGTATAATTTTGTTGACAAAAATCCAGGTAGATACAAAAGTATCAAACAGGTTCCTACAAATATAGATTATCTTACAATTGGTCTCCTTGATTGATTTGGCCAATGAAGTGAATGGAATATGAGTACCAAAAAGTCTTGGCTCAGTCATATCAGATAGGTCATAAATTTGGTCATCAATATTGTCATAAATGATAAATTCAAAGGGAGGCACAAGTTCATGAGGGTTATAATTAAGTAATGGATGATTCTTCAATGAAGGAAAATATTGACGATTGATTATGGCATAAGTAAGGGCCTTCAACCAGGTAGTGCCTGATTTAGGAACACTGGCTACAATAACATCGTTATCTTTAGCTTGGAAGTGATTTTGGAAGGTGTTTATGGCTTGTATTTCACTTGGTGTATACCAGAAGTCTTGAAATGAATAGAGATATGGGGTTATCCAACCTTTTTCTCTACGAAGAGAGAGAATTAAATCCTTGCAATCTTGGCTTAATTTGTTTTCTTCATCTATTTCTTGAACGCTTGCTAATTGAATTTTTGTACAATCCATGAGATTGGTTGGATCTATTGGAGTAAAGTAATGGTAGCTTGTTTTATAGCAGTAATTGATATGATAATTTAACTTATGACTAACTATTATTTATATCATCATTCAAGTAGAAGTGAAGAATCTTATTAATAATTTATTGATTAAGGAATAAGAGTGAAAACTTTTATTGAAATCCAAAATATTTAATATTGCTAAATTTTTATTATCATTTTTTAATTTATTAATTTACTAAGTATTAACTTTAGGACGATGAATAGTAAATTCAATGTTTTATAAACATAAGACACATTATAAATTATGGTGTTGATAATTACACGTACAGTGTTTGCAAAGGTTGTTTCTATTTTTCTTGTTGAACTTTTAAGTTTTAACAAGTTTTTTTTTCTTTCATATTTGAATAAATAAATAAATCCTAAAAATATCATTTACTTATTTTAATTTCTATTTCCTTTTCAATTTTAGTTTCTAAAAAGTATAAAAAAACATTATTTTAATTTTTCGGTGAGAA